GTAATAAAAAAATAAAAAAAATTACAAGAAATACAAGCAAGAAAAAAGAGAGTCACTTACACAAATGAAGAAAAAAAGGGAAAATAGCAAGGTGAAAGAATATGGGAAACTGGGCAAAATAAAATGATAGAAAATGGTATGTTTAGCCGATATGTCAAGGAGGGCAAAAAGTCACTAAAGTATACCTAAATATACCCTACCTTACCCTGAGCTTGTGTTACAAGCTAAGAAAGTCCTATCGTGATCCTAAGGGTTGTATAGCGAACTTAAAGCAGTGAAAATAAGGGCAAGCTTATGGCAATAGTTATGAATGTGTGAATTTGTTCTGAGAGTGAGTGTTGAAAAGTAATCCTTACACTCAAACTAAAATCGTTGTGTGAAAAATGAGGATTTTGTTTTGAAGTGAAAACACTAGTTGCAGTATCGGAAATATTAGCTCCTCGGTGAGAAATTGAAAAGGATAGGTGTTAGTGCATGGTGAGTCTGTGTCATGGTCTGATTCCACATAATTCAAGCCTAATAGTGATAGCATGCATAAATATGATGATATTAATCGGGATTTGTAGCCAAATGATTGCAAAGAATAAAACATGGATACTATTGTTTAAAGATTTTGTATTGAGTCATAGTGTTTCGCTTGAGGACAAATAACGAATTTAAGTTGAGGGTGTTGATAAAATGTGGTTTCACGGTATTATTAATACTTTTTCCTTAAGTTTAGTGTGTCCAAAATCCTTTTTTGTGCTAATTTTTATATAAGTTTCTCCTTATTTGCAGGAAATTTGTCCAAAGATGAATACAGAGGTTTTTGAGCGAAGAAATGTAGAAGAGACCACCTACAAAGCTTGTGACGGTCCGTCATGATCGTGACGGTCCGTAGGTGGTAGCGTAGTGCAGCTGCTGAAGGAAGATTGGGAAGTCTGAACAAGTGTGGGGTTACAGAAAGCGTGACGGACCGTCGTATCCATGACGGTCCGTCCTGTAGGTTCGTCATGAAGATCAAAGAAGTAGTCTCAGTACCCATATTCCAAGAGTTCAAGTGTTTTGGAACGGAGACCCTCGACGGACCGTTGTGCTTGTGACGATCCGTCATAACTGCCGTCGAGGGTAATGAAGAGAGCAGCAGAAGAAATTGCACAAGTATGGGACGACGGAATCTATGACGGACCGTCGTGACCACGACGATCCATCGCGAGGTCCGTCGAACCAGCCACGTTTTTAACAGATTTCCAGCAAATAGAGTCCTTGTTTAATTAGGTTTTTATTTTCTATAAATAGTTCGAAAAATCTCGTCTTTGAGGTTAGACTCTTGATTATTTGATTAGACCCTTGATTATTTTTAGACTCTTTGTTCTTCAATTAATTTCAATAATTGATTGTTGGTGATTTTTGTTGATTAATCAAGCGAACTTTCGGATTTTACTCTTTCTCATTGAAGTAAGTGCATGAATTCTTATACCATATATTTGAATATTGTGATTATGACTATGGGTAACTAAACTCTATAACTAAGGTTGTGGGAACTATAGGCAAACAATGAGGTAAAACCTAACTAAAATAACAATTCTAGAATAGTGTCTTGCATGTATTGATAATTCTTTCGCTTAGAAGTCTTTTTAACGGATGGTCAACGTTAGAACTCGCCTTAATGCTACTTGCCGGACCAAGGAGGTAGATAATAGGAAAAGAATTATCAACATAGATTTAGTGTATACTATCTAATAGGGTAGTATTGATTGGTACGAGGTAATAACTTAGTCAAATATCGAATATGATACTTAATATGAGGTAAAGATAAGGGCTAGGATAGCAACACACGTAGCCGGACCAAGGTGCGGAGTGAAATTTTCTAGATGTCGGACCAAGGATTTAGAAATACATAACTTATCACTTTGCATGTAAGATACTAGGAAAGAATTGTTATAGTTAGACTTATCAAATTATGAACATGTGGGGAACACGTAAACCCTAGTTACTTTCATTAATTGATTAAACTCCAACATTTAAGTTATTAAGTGTCTCTTTCAATTTCGCTAGTTATTTTCATTTATTTAGAAATAGAAAATCCCCCTTTTATCATTTGCTTTCCAATGAAGTAATTGACTGAACAATAGTAATAATAGATTGAAGTTAAGTCTAAACTATTTTCCTCGTGGGAACGATCCCAACCTCAAAAGTGCAATTCTTATTTGTGAAAGTTGTTAAATGTCATATGAATGTCACATTACACGCCAATAGGGTTCCACTGCCACATAGACTAAAAGGAAAATGATAAAAAAAAATACCATTAAACTATCTGAAATAGTTCATATATACCCTTAATCAATATTTCGTCTCAAAACTACCCTTTCCGTCAAATTATTGGGTCAAAAGTGTCCTTCTTATAAATTAAAGTTGTTAAATGCCATGTGAATTCCTAATTGCACGCCAATAGGGTTCCACTGCTACACATACTAAATCCTTAAATATTTATTACTCTTTTTTTCCTTCATTTCATTATTTTTCAAAAATGATTTTACTCCTTCTCCCTCATTTCGCGGCTAAGAGTTTCAAATTTTTCTTTGTCACTAGGTTTAAAAGTGGATCTTCGTAGTCGTAGGTTAGTAAATCGTTTTTCTTATTTTATCTCCAAAATAATATTTATTTAATCTCCAAAATAAATTTTGTTTTATCTTAAAAATTTTCACTTAAATAAGAAAACAAAAATATCACAATTTTAAGAGATAAAAAATAGAGTTGATAATGTAAGAATAAAAATGACAAAATACTGAGTGCATAGTTGTAGTTTAATAAAATACATAACCAATTAACATGATAAATTTTGAAATAGTATAAATATATGGAAATAAAAATTAATTTGGCATAAAATTATATATCATATACATATAAACTTCCACAATCGATAAACTACATATTGACCTTTATATAATAGTGAGTTGCACTTTTTAGTCTTGATTTATACTTCTTGCAATCTTAAATTATCATAAATTAGTGCCATTCGTCGAGAGTAAGAAACACATTAAATATTAAATTATGAATTCTTTACAAAATAAAAATAAATGTTTTCTTAATTGATATTAATACTTGTATTTCAAAATTAAAATACTTTATTACCTTATCTAAATTAAAAATTTTGACTAATATCGATAGATTATTGATTAAAAAAACTATAAAAATAATTGTGAATTATTTTCATTTTAAATTTTGTTAAAAGACAAAATAGTTACAAAAACATAAATTTTATAAATATAAAATTGATCTAAAGTTTGTACTCACTCCCTTTCGATTTATATAATTTTAATTTAACTTAACATGAAGATTTTTTTAAAAGAAAAAAAACACTTTTAAAACTCGTGGTCTAAAACAAATCATAGATGTTCATATGACTATAAATCATCTTACTAAGAATAAAATGAATATTTTAAAGTCAAAATGTTATTTAAATATATTATACTTCATTCTTTTGAAACTGACTACAAAGAAAAATATGTCAAATAAATTATTTTAAAGTAAAATTTTCATAGTGTAAAGAGTTAATTACATTATATCCCTACTTTTTACAAATTACAAAATTTTCTTAGAATTAAATAATTTCAGATAAATCAGCACACATGCGGATACATCGATCGTGATATATTGCTATTGAGAAAACTTGCAGACACATAGCTCACGGATGGATTCGAGAGGAGAGGTGTATTTGAGAGAGAATATGGATATATACGAGAGGGGAGAGATGTATTCAAGATGGAACAAAAATGTATTAAAGAGAGGATAGGAATATATGATATTAATGTGTCACGATAGGAATGTATCCGAGAAGGATTTTTTTAATTTTTTTTTAAATAGTAAAAAAAATTTAGAAACTATAATAAAATAAAACATTAATTTGGACAATTTTTTTAACTTAAAATTGACAAATAATTAATTATATTGGACCTTCAGTTATCTAGTATGATATAATAGAGTACATATGAGTCGTCTTCATTGAACCTTCCCCAACTGCTGCAACTCCGCCGCTCTGCTACCTGAAATCCGCCTACTACAATTTCCAGCGCCCAGAGCCAAATCGGTACTCCCTTTCATTCATTCATTCATTCATAAGAAATTTTAATCTAGTATTTTACATATATATATTTTTTGGTTTTTCATCCGGGGTTTACTTTGGAGTCCCATTAAATCCGGATTCGATATTCATATTCTACTTATAGCCTCACACCGAAATGCTGAGGATTTTAATAAAAGAGGGTTCCACTATTTCCATATTGAATTTCCATCAGAAGCGTACTCTTGTCAATGTAAAGCTTAAATGGGTTAAAGATAGTGTCTTGGATTCTGTAGTAGTTGGAGGTACACAACTTAAGGCCGGAACTACACTAGTTTCTATCATTGCCTCACAATCCACTTCTGGTATTCCTATTTACCATCTCCAAAGAAAGCATAGGCAGCTTGGACTCCCTCATGATTTGAAAGTCTCCACTTTCCTTAGGCGATACCCGAATATTTTTCAGGAGTTCTTTTGTTGTGATAGTGCTGGTACTCCTGTTCCGTGGTTCAAATTGACTCCTGAGACTTTAGAGTTTCATCATGAGCAAGTTGACGTTTTCCGCCAGTGCAGTGCAGATATTGTTAGTAGGTTGAGAAAGCTTTTGATGATGACCAATAAGAGGATGCTTCCTCTTCAGACAATTGATCAGTTAAAATGGGATTTAGGCTTGCCGCATGATTGTGCTAGTTCATTGATTATTAAATATCCTGAGCTGTTTAGTTTGGTGGACCTTCCTGATGGTCGTGTCGGTTTGAAGCTTTTAGCATGGGATCACAAATTAGCTGTTTCCCATTTGGAGGCAAATTCTGCAAAGGAAAATGGGACCTTGACGTTTCCTATTGGATTCACCAGGGGTTTTGGGTTAAAGAGAAAATGTATGAAATGGTTGGAGGAATGGCAAAAGCTGCCTTATACTTCTCCTTATGTAGATGCTTCTCATTTGGACCCAAGGACAGATGTGTCAGAGAAGAGGATAGTTGGGGTGTTTCATGAGCTTCTGCACCTCATCTTACAAAAGAAAACAGAGAGGAACAATGTGAGCAATCTTCGTAAGCCACTGGAATTGCCTCAGAAGTTCACAAAGGTCTTTGAGCGGCATCCAGGGATTTTTTACCTTTCTATGAAGGGTGACACACAGACAATCGTCCTTAGAGAGGCTTATGAGCGCAATCAACTGATTGAGAAGCATCCCCTTGTTCAGATAAGGGAGAAATTCGCGAACATGATGAAACAAGGTTTTCTAAATCGTAGTAGAGGGTTATATAAAGACACTAACCAAGGTCCAGAGGAAGAGAAATCATTGACAAGTAGTTTTGTTGGTGAGACCTGTGGAACTAGATATTACTCTGATATAGGCTCGGATTCTGGTATGTGCTTAGAACATGAAGCAAAGTAGGTAAAGGTCTTTCAAGAATGTTGAAGTCATAATCTGAGAGGTGATTGGATTGACTGTTTGGGCTTCTTAAAAACACGCGGAAGTAGTTTGGATATGCTCTTAATATACCAATAACATTAGATAGAGGTCCTTAAAGTAGTACTGTTGTAGCTAGAAGCTGAGAGGTGATTGGCTGTAACTTTGAGATTTGTATTTCTCTTCTAAATTTGCGGGGAGGTTCTTCATAAAGTTGAGGAAGTTCTACCCAATCTTTGCTTATGATCTGGTCCTTATATTAGTTAATCCAACTAAATCAAAGAAGACGGCCATTTAAATATCAAGAAGAGGGGGAATCAACTTGTGCAATCGAAAGATGAGCTTTGAGTGTGAATACTCCCTTAATGGCATCATTTCAGAGAATCACCTGTGGAGTGCCCTTTATATGTCTCAATGAGTATTATTGATGGACTTCTGTTCTGTAAGAAGTATTCAGCTGGAACTCTTGCAGCAACAGACTCTGTGATGTCACCTAAATGTGATGGTAAGGATTGTTTACCTTTAGCGAGGAAGTTCATTTATCTTATGTTAGTGTCTAAAGGCTGGATGGAGACTTTCAGATTCTGTCAGATAGTATGCTCATGTTCTTTGAGAATCCTATAAGACAGTGTATATGATAGTTTATGTCAGTTTTATCACCAAGTTATCTCCATGATACATCATTTATTCCTTTCTCTGTTGTCAACGCGTTCTCTCTGTGACAACTGACACATCATTCATTTTTTTCATTAATTTAGATTTTCAGGTCCCATGAATGAATCTGAGCAAATGTGAAAACAAAATACCTTTTAAGATATCTCTGAAGTGGACACAGTATTTAGAATGCTTTAGACTTAAAATTGTTGTTGGCACTAAATCAGGTTATGAGGTTCTCTATTTTGTTAGAAAAAACATAGATTACCAGAAGCTGCACTAAAGCTATTTTATATATCTATAAATTACAAATTTTCTTAAGTCAGAAGCTGCACTAAAGCTCGCACATCAACTTGAATATTATTTTTTGCTGAACAACTTGGTTTTGGCATACTTTTCTCAGAGATAGAAATATCACTTCACCAAGGTCACTTTCACATTAAATGTTGTTTCAAAATCAAATGAAAGCAAGTGTATCCATATGCATTACTTGACTATATCCTATCATTACCAGAATTATCTTTATACATTTTTTGAATAAATTTTTTGTACTCATATACTTTTAGCTTTGCACCACATTCTTTATATATGATATTGAGGATTCATTTGTCTTGTGAATATTATGCCTAGATGGGACACTGACATTGAAAATAGTAGCTGTCAGTTTGTGTCAATAACCCTAAAAGGAATACAAAACTAGTGATATTTTACCTGTACAAGATAAATAAAGTCTTTCTTATGCATCTATGTATGAGCTCTATTATCAATGCTCATTTTCATTTAGATCAACTTCTTGCTAGATTGGATATGTTGATAACTAACTTCCCCTTTAGTTTAGTTTCTTCATACCTTATATGGTATTCAGGCGAGCTACTCTTCCAGTTCAGGCAAAAAATAATGTTTTTAAGCTGTCTTAGTCTGATCTGAATTGCTCTTCTTCGGCTAAGTCTTTCCATTTTCCCCTTATTGTCGGATTCTTGATCCACTTCAGATTTGAATTTTATGAATTAGCTGTCTAGTAGTTGATGATGGGAATTTATGCTCTTTGGATCTAGCTTTTAGTGATTTCTATCTGTTTGTTTTCCTTATTTTTTATTTTTTTTTAACTACTTGATTTATGGAGTTTCTGTACCTCCCAAAGCTAAGCAACCAATAAAAATTGTTTTACTCCTTTCTTCGCCTTCCTTTCCTCTTTTGTTGTTTACCCTTTGACCTTGCTTTGCTCGCAGGTAAACTATTGCCAGTGTTCTTTACTTGAAGTATTGTTGCCGACTCCTTTCTCACTATTCTTTCCCTTATTCTTCGTCTCTATTTTTGGGGAGATTTTTTGATTTGCTTCTGTCTGTATATGATTTCTTCTTCAGCAATCCAAGGTGAGCATAACCAGAGACAACTTCATTATCAACTATCTCAGTAAGGTAAAACTGTATACTTCAGCTGTTGTACTTAAAGGGTCATAAACCTCAACCAATTAACCCTTCATGTGCTTACCTCTGAATGTTTTACAACAGAAAATTTGTATGAGAGTTGTTGCTCATTGTGTGTTTCATATAATAGGTTCTAAAATAAAAAGTATTTTTTATACTGCCGAGGACAGACCATACCTTATTAACGCTCTCAAAGTGAGCTTTCATAAAAAGGAGATTTTCTTATACATTAGAACTAGGAATGATTTTGTTGTTTGTTTCTGTTGTAGGACCTGGCTGCCAAGACTCAAAACAGGCTAAAGAATTTATCTGAGATGCGAAGTTCAGGTAAGGTGTATCCCATATCTTGAAAGACCCAATACATTTCTTTTGCTTCTTATAGAGAGACCTGAGTCGTACATATTCCTGAGCTTCTATACTTTTATTTGTGTTGCTTCTATTCTTTTCTGATCTGTTCTTTTTTCATAAGATGCCTTAAGTTGATCATTAATTTTACTGTACATTTGTATCGCAACATAGCCTCAGTTTTTAACGCAATAGTATGTGCTCATCATTAATTGATTAAAATGCAAATAATTTTCTGATGTGAAGTTCTTTTTCGATTATGTAGGCCCTATTTTGCCTGATGGTATGAAAGTAAAAGTGAAGACAGCGGAAAAAGGTGATGAGCCCCGAAGTCTTGTTTCAGTGGCTTCTTCAAATCAAACCAAATGGAGAAGCTTCAGTCCATCTTGGCTTCTTTGCACCATTGCTGGTACTTAATTCCGTTATTAACTCAATTTTTCTAAGCTCTTCTGTTAATTGTGTACAAAAATCATTGAAGAATTCTTTTCATAAACAACTTTTGTTGATGCACATTCCTAAACATTGTAGATACTTGTGGCCTGTTTCACATTGTTATGATTTTTTTTACAAAAAGAGAAAAAGAGGCCTCAACTTATGCACTGGAGTACATGTGTGGAGAAGATATGAAAGGAAACAACCACCTATTTTTGGAGTAAGGTGGCTTTGGAGCTTTGGGACATTTTTGGAGTTGTTCAATATTTAAGTAATGATATCAAATCTAGCCAAGTAGTTACTGTTCACACCGGAAAAACATGGGCAAACACTAAGGATAAGGAAATTCTTGATATCTTTATGACAAGGTTATTTCAACTGTATTGAGGTTAGTTAAAAAATACAGAAAAAGAAATAAGATGAAATAGATAGAAAACTTTTAATCCGAGTCCATAGAAATTGTTGTGTTTTTTTAAGAAATTTAATCCCCTCACTGTATCCGAGGTTGCAGATTAATTTCTCCCAAGATAAAACGAATTAACCAGTTAAAGAAGTAGCGGTACCTCAAACTTCAATAACTTCAGTGAACGTAAGAATAGTAAAAAGAGCACACATACTCAGTCGATCAATAATTTTGTTTATGAGAGAAAATATATGGATAGAGGAAAAAATTTCAATGTTTTGAAAAACGAAAATAATCTCTTATTCATAGCCACTTGCAGCAAAGGACACGTCTATTCGATAATGGTGTAAACGCGTCTGTTCAAACATGTCGTTTAAGACCGTTGTATCTTTTTGGGTAAAATAACGATTTTCTGGAAGGAACATGTCCCTTCAGGAAAAACGTTACCGTTACCGTTACACGCGAATTTGAATAAATCTCGCTAAATTAAATTAATTATGTTAATTAACTAACATGCTGAATTAATTTATAATAGAACTTACATTAGTAAAAAAGAATTTAATTAATGAGATTCATGAAATAAATTTTGTCCAAAAATATTATGAACTACAACGACGCCATGAGTGGACACCTTCTTTTTAACCCTTTAAGAAGTAAATGAAGTGTTCCCGAATATAAGAACAACATTTCCTTTTTCTATCAATATGGGAGAAATGACTTTTCGTTTGCATTTTGCAAATAACTTTTTATTTTCCCTCCAAAATTGGTTCCCCACTTTTTCATTCTCTTCTCTTTTTTTCATTCACATTTTGTTAAAATCCAACGCAAAGGCAGAAACCATTGGAAGGCAGATGTATATAGATGTGTAGAACTGATGAAAATTTAGTAGGGCACTTGAGAAAATATGGTGAACAAAAGTAGTGTGAAACTTTTATGTTGACATATATTGTAGTGTTTGTACTTTTTGGAAGTTTTATGCATTTATAAAAAAAAAAATCATTTTGATAATATTACTATAGCTTATCCCCTTTTCTTATTGCATAGCAACAATATTTGTTGATGATAATCGATCTACATATTGGTGAAGCATTCTCCATGAACTATGATCCAAGAGAAACATTTGATTCTTTCATAAAATCTTCCAACTTCAAGAAGACATGGTCGGGGAGGGGTTATAGTAAAGGCTGCACAACACCTATTCACAAAGAAGATACCATTGTGGTGGGGTTGCTCCACTCATAATTAGAGGTCTCAGATTCGAGTTTCGGTAATAGAAAAAGTCACTCTCTAATGGGTCTTGTAGTGCACGATCCAGATTTAGTTGCAGCTCCAATACAGTCTCCAAACACTGGGTGGGAAACCCAAAAAAAAATTCCATTGTAAAGTGTGTTTCTGAATGATGGAATCGGTTGAGAGAGATCGAAAAGGAGGGTGAGGGCTTTGCTGCTTCATCAGAAACAAAAAGTCATCAATTCCCCAAATTATTGAGGTTCTTGCAAACAATTGTTTTAAGCTCTTGTTTAATCATAGATTTTCAAGTTGAAATTTGAAAATTTATGTTTTCAGAAGTTATGAATTTTGAATTTGATGTTATATTTGAACTTGTATTTTACTTGGGAAAGAACTGAAGTTTGTGAATGGAAGTCCCAGAAACTGAAAAATTGATTGAGTCATTGGGAACTTGAAAATATTTGAAGATAATAATCTGAGCAAATTTCATGATCAAATAAATATTTAAAGATAATTTTTTTAAAAAAATCTACTCCAAACACTAGCTTAGTTGGTGGAATCTTAACTTTTGAAAATGCTTTTGGGCCTAAAGTTGAGCAGAATCTGATTATAAGTTGTTATTTGCAGTTTTGATGATTTGACAAACTCAGGGACCTTGTAAAGGTACCAGGTTTCTTACTTGAGTTTTGAAGATGAAGCAAATTCAGGGACCTAGTAACGGTACCAGGTTTCCAATGTGACTAGCCAGTTGACTGCCAGCTGGAGAAGGTACAGAAAGTGGGTGCACATTTCCCAATGGCATCAGAAAGTCAGACCTCTCCAACCAATGGCAGAGAGTTTAAGGAAAGTCACTTGTCCATATAAAAGTCACTTTCCTAAAAATTATTCCTTAGTTTTTGCAACTTGATAAAGTATTTTCAAGAACACATGCAAAAGCTATCGAAAATCAAACAGCAGAATTATTCAAACAACAACTGAAATCTCTGGAGCATTTAGCGTAGTTGTTTAAGAATATAGTCTCTTGGTCTTACATTGTAAACTATTCCTGAATCTATAAAGGAATCAGTGGGTGGTATTGGAATTCTAAGTTGTCTAGGTGGGATAGCTTAGTGGGTACACTTACTTCTACTTAGGCTTGTCAAGCAATAGAAATTATTGCTTGAACGTGACATTAAAAACTTCTTCTCACATATGTTGTAATCGGGTTTCACTTTTGCTTGTGAAGATTAGTGAAAACGGTTGAAAATCCTGTGAGACGGGTCGTGGTTTTACTCCCTTAAGCAAGGAGGTTTCTACGTAAAATCGTTGTATTGCTTAAACTGCATTTACTTTCTGTTCATACTTGTTAGTGTGTCAAGGGACCTGGTACATTGACTGATAAGTGAAGGCATATATTCTATCATAAGTTTTTCGAATCTTTGGGAACTTGAAAATATTTGAAGATCATAATTTGATCAAAGTCTTTAATGGTCGAGTATTTTATGGTTAATATTATTTGAAAGATATGATGGATCATGTATGACTTGTTATATCGAGGTTGCTCATGTTTATTATGCATATCAATTTAGGATGAGGACTTGAAGTTCGGGCTATATTATACTTGTGATTATAATTTATAGTTACTCGGTAAAGTTGATGATCGGGGGTATGGTGCATAGCTTAAATATTGGGACTGGTTATGGCTGTTCACTATTTAAAACATATCTCATAAGGGGGATTTGACTTCAGATGGTTTAATAAGAAGCTTGCAAGTGAACTACTAAAATTGGTCAATGGCCAAGGTGATGCATGAGAACTTGAGGGAGAATAGTAGGTTGGTTGAGCTAGTAGCGGTATTATATTAAGGAAATCTCTATATGATAGAAGGATTAAGTTATGATATGATATGAGGCTGAAATGACCTAGATGGTGGAGTTGACAGCGAAAGGAGGTGAGGTGACTTGACATAGAGTATATGAGTTTCAAGGTAACAATATCTGTAACGAGAGTGGCAAATTGGTGGATCAGGGCCCTAATTTTATATTCAAGTTGCATGTTTCTTTGACTATTTGCAATTTTTCATGATATTATGTGTTTGGCTCAGGTCGACCAGTGATATTAACTAGTACATGTTGTTTGTATTGATACTACTTTTGTTATGTCACTTGATTTAGTCTAGTTATAGAATGTAGTGACGTTTCATAGGTGACGACGATAATGATATCTGGCAGTTTCTACTTCTCTTTCCTTATGGTGGGAGATGTGTCTTATTCTTTCATAAATTGTACTTTTTAGAAGCTCTTGTACCTAGTTCCTAAGGAGGAATTCATGTACTTTTCCAAAATTGTGTATTTCATCAAGCTTGGCAAATGATTTTCATGACTAAATGAGTTAATATATTGCAAAGTTGTTTATTTCCACATTTTCAATTTAAAATTGGGTGATAAAGATTCACCTATCTAGGTGTTAGAAAAAGTGTCTGCATGAGCCAGTGAGTTTGGATCGTAACAATAATCATGAGGAGAATAGATGGAAAGTGAGAAGGATGATACAACGTGACCAAGAAATTTGGTAAAGTTATTCGAGTTCAAGCAAGAGTTTATTATCAACCTGGTCCAGTCTCTTCCAATTATGTGGTCTTACGATTCTTTCTGCTTTTTCGTACATTTTTTTCAAAACCTTTGATTTTTATTTGTATTTTGATGCTTTATTTCTAATTTTTCTATATGAAAATAAATGCATTTTCTATCTGTTATTTTAAACAGAAAATATATTTGGCAAGATAACTTTTTGGCACGAAATGGAATGAACAGTTAATTTCAGGTAAACTTCTAATTTCGCTGTAAAGTTAAGGGTGATTATGTAAATTCATTTATTTCCTTTACCCAAAGTATCCTCCAAAGTAAAACCACTATGAATACTATTAAAATCACTACTTTTTGAAATTGAAACCACTTCTGAATATTCAACCTATACTCATTCTTTTCAGTTCACACTACCCAAGAAATTTATATCTAATGTTATACAGTTATAATCTATTGTGATTTAATGTTTTATATTTCTATAGTTTACTCTTTCTATTTGTATCAATTTTGTGGTCTTTATACGTTCTTTATTTGTAAAAGCTTTTTTTTTTGTTTTCGTTCGTAATTGTCATTTGGAATAATAAATCAACAACAAATCTAAATTGAGTAAACTATATTTGGACATTACTTTTGGTCCTTATCAATTTTTTCATCATTCACAATAACCCTTTATTTCTATTGTCAAGTATGTGTATGTATCAAATTCAAATTTTTCAATCTTCTGTGTATTCAAATTGGCAAGAATGTACAAATTTGACTAATAGACGTAGCGGTAGTTTATTATTAAGTGCATGTGGATGAGAGGAAATTGTTATCTAACGAACAATATATAATTATGTTAACAATGTTTTTTATGGGTTTTGTTTTTGGAAAAACAACGACGGACTAATTTGCTAAGATGATTTTGTGATGTTAATTTCATTTAGGATTTTATGTATATTGGCATTGAGCTGTTTTTTGTGTAGGTCTTTTGGTTTGGGCCTTTTTTCGATCCGTCTCTATATTGTGTATTGGGCCTGTCAACCTAATTAATACTATTTAGGGAAAAATTTTCGAAATGTCAATATTTTAGCATTTAAGAGGACTCATTAACAACAATTTCAATATTTAGTAAAATGTCATTTTAGTTTGTTATGTATCTTATTTATGTTTTTATTATTTATTTTTATTTAAAGAATATAATTATTTAATAACAAAAAAGAGAAAATTAAGGGGGGAATATTTCAAAAAAAGGCAAGCATCCTTA